CTGAGGAGGTAGTGGGTGCTAGAGCATGCTGTGTCTGTATAAGAATAAGCAATTCCATATTCTAATAATTATTTATTCAATTTACTCTTCTCTGGGGTCTTCCTCAGAACATCATTATCAATTTTCCTGGTCTTAGTAACCTCATTCATTAAAAAAGTAGCATACTTTAGATAATCTCCAAGACCAATTTTGGTCCTAAACTCTTATCTTTATAGCTTTTTCTAAAAAGTCTACCATTCTAGAACTGGAAAGAATCTTCTGAGTTACTGCATGGTCTGTGCCGCTGCCTCCGAGCCAAATTTGCCATGAATATTTCAACCTGTAAAAGGCAACTACCAGGCCTATTACTAAGAATTAGTTCAACTATGTTCAACTACATTTAACTTTATAGAGTACAAATCTTTACCGAGACAGTTGGCCCAGTCCACACATAGAAATATCATCCTAATCAACGTTGGACCTGGAGAAGTTGAATTCTTGGCAAAAAAGAATTGCCCTTGAGCTGTCAAAACTTGAGCAACTAGTTTTTAGGGCTCCTTTTCCCCTAGTTCATTCATTTTGATTTGACATCCTCATGAGGAACTCTACCCAGCAGGTGTTCAGAAAAGTTTAAAAGGGCAATTTTTCACTTTTGAAGAGAGTTGAAGGGTAGGTATGTCGCTTAGACCCACAGCTCTTCCAGACTGTCTGAAACATCTTGGGCAGCCAGAAGACAGTGCAGGTTACAATTTTTAAGGACTGTTGACAGTGAGGTGGGGATTTTCCTCTTTCTGTCGATTTTTAAGTGTTCTTGCAAAAGTAAAAATTGTGTCTGTGGTCACTTTCATTCATTGGCTCCAGCTTTTGTACTGTTTTTCCTGGAGCGTTTTTTTTTTTTTTAAACACTGGCATTTGTCAGCTTTCCACAGGATTCTGAACAAACACTTGGAAAATCCTTCCCGAAGGGAGCAACACCATTTTTTTTTTTTTTTTTTTTACCACTGTTGGAAATCTCCTTACAAGTCTTTGCAGTCCATTATGTGGCTTTCCATGGTTTTCCTCAGTGATTATTCCTATTTGTGAACCATGAGCAGTTTCAGAATTTCAGTTGCACCTGGGGCAACCTATTCACTGCATGGAAAAGCTTCCTGAGAGAGTCTACAACCAAATTTGGGGAGTTTCCTGCTTTGGGGTGTGAGAGCTGACAGTATGAGCAGTGGCCTACAGCAGAAGGTTTCTTCATCGAGCCCCTGCCCGCCTCCATCTCCAATAGACCTTGAATCTTGCTTCGCAGGGGAGATTGAGCTAACAGTCGAGGTCTTCCTTAACACCTTCAATCTCATCCCCGTCTATGCTCACCCTCACCTTCTCAGGAAGGGTTAGTCTTTATGTAGTTCAGAACCAAATCTTTCTTTTAGGGTCTGAATCCTGCCCTATTTCACCTCCTCACAGCCTCGCTTCATCAGTCATTCCGTCTTTCCTATATTTTCAAATGCCTGCATTCTCAAAAAGTAAAAAGAGTAAACAGCCTAACTTTGCACTAAGAATCCTATGTCTCTTTTCATTTAAAGTTAATTTCTAAGAATCATCTGTGCACAATATTTCATCTCCTGTTGATTCTTCAATCCACTGCAATGAGGCTGTGGATTCCATTTAGCTCTGAAATTGCTCTGAGGCAAAGATCTTCTCCTTATCTTCCAGTATCCCTTTCTGGCTTAACTTCCATGGCTTTTCTGGGGGCATCTAATACCTCTGACCAGTCTATTCTCTTTGAAATTCACTTGGTATCAGTATAACAAGTTTCTCCCATCTACATTGCTAACTGAAAATTCTGCCTCACTTGTGCTATTCTTTCCTCGCTGCCTTTTGAGATTCTTCCTTTGCTCTTTACGTTTTCTCAACTCTGTGCTCTCCCTAGATGTTGCTATGATACCCACTGCTTACACTGTTACCCATACACTGATGACTCCAAAGTCCATCTTCAGTTCTGACCTCTCTTCTGAGCGCCTAGTGTTGTTTAGATGTTTCAAAGGCACCTTGAAATCAAAACATTAAAAATTTATTAGCTTCTTTCCAAATCTGGCTCTGCCTCCTATGGTCCTTCGTTCGGCCTCCCAAACTAGACACGCAGAAGCCCTTGCCAACACCTGTTTCTCATCTTTTTTTTTATTATTAAAAATTATTGGGGTGACATTGTTTAATAAAATCAAATAAGTTTCAAGTGTACGAGCTCCACATCTTTATGCACATAAATCACTGGCAAATTTAGCTCCTTAGTAGTTTCATTTGCAACACCCCACACACTGTTACCAACTTAATGCGTCAGATTGTTGTGAAAATTAAGTGACATACCACATAATTAATGAGCCTAGCACCTGATAAAAATCTTAATTGAATCTAAACTTGAGACAGCGGCATTTCCAGGTGTTTGTATTCTTTGGCATGTACAGACCATAAACATTTCCTCTTTTAAGTCATTAAAATCAGTGTGATTCACGCAGTACACTGAAGTGGCAAGTCACTAAATAGAGTCTACTGGCTTGAAAGATTTAAGCCACTGGGAGGCTCCAAAAATCAGAGGATTATTCTGACTTTGGAATTCTCATGTGACTACTGAAGTGATTTAAGTTTCCAGTGGAAATAATTGAAGCAAGAACCTAAAATGTATGAAGTTGTTTTTTTCTTTAAAGAACTTGTACTGCACTCATATAATATGTCATCTCCCTACAGAATCTCTCTTTTCTGGAACTTGCATGCTGGGTAGATGTGAACTATAATGCGAACTTCTATTTCTCCCTCACATAACCCTTTCCTCTCTATGGTATGAGGGCTATTGTAAATCCAAGTTTTATTTTGTGGAGCATTCAACCGTGTGAAAAATGTAATAATAAACAGTTTGTTCTCTTTGGTATTCTCCAATATGTTGCAAATTATCTATCACTTAGTTATCATGCAATGAACTCTGTTGTGTAACTATAACAGAAACCCAAGTCTACTCTCTTAAAGAACATAGTAAATTTATTGGCTCATATAACAGGCAGGCTTTTCTTCTCTTCAGTCCAGTCATTCTTGTCATCCTCCCTATGTCAATAGCAATGATTGTGGTCTGGGAAATGCCATGTCCTGATTGGCTTATATTTGGCTGGAAAGGGGGTGGTTTTAAACTGAGAATGAGACGCCATGACCAGAAAATGGTCATTCTATCCAGAGGCAGAGTTTATAGGCAGCCAACAAATGTCTACTACATGAAGCATAAATAAAGGAAATGGAAGAGGGAATAAAGAAGGAAGTAAAGGAATTGCAGGAAGATACTTGGTCCTTCATAAACAGGGAGAAGAGAGAACTTTCCACTTTTTCATAATAGTCCATTGCAACTGCTAAAGAGCAGGATTATAATAACTAATAGATGAAATGGAGAGATTTGAGAAGACAATGAACAAGTATACAGGCTGCTGAGAGAAGTATTCCTGATTCCTGGTAACTTTAAATAGGTAATAGGCAGCCCTCCTCAGTAAACAGCTTGGGCAACAATCTGGTGATGTCGCTTGAAAGCACTAATCTACCTCTCTGCCCCAAAACTCTCTTCCTTTTGGATATTCCAAGATAAAAAAAAACCAACTCTGAATTGATCAAAGTAACAGATTCCTTCAGGTCTTGTGTGGAACTGGTTTGAAGGTCTTTCCATTGATGCTTCAGCTGTCCTAATGACCCTATTTGGTTCTTAATACCTACCTCAATGTCCTTTTGACAAGACAGCGAGGTAGGTGGGGAACAAACAATTTCCTCATAGTCTCTTAATGTCTAAAAATTTCAGTGGTTATTGATATCATTTAACTCATATATATCATTTTAGATATTTATCATATCCTTTCCTCTCATTTTACAGAGAGATAGGGAGAAAGAGAGAGAGGGAGAGAGAGGGAATGAGAGAGAGAAAGAGAGATTATACACCTTAGAGAAATAGATATTATATACTTTACCTAGGATCAGCTAAAGCCACTGTTTAAACAGAACTAGGACTGTATCTTCAGGGTCCTGAATCCTAGTTGAGGTCTGTCACTACCATATCAGTTATACCAGTTTTCTCTGATGGTGCCACACTAATTGTAACTTTAATTTTAGTTCTTTGAAGAATCCAGTAATTCTGGACTGCCATATAGAATGTCCTTGTATGCCAGTGGTCTGGTGGAAATTATTGTTTATTTAATCCAGTAGATTTTGAATTTTAAATATGTTCCAGTTTTTATGGGTTTTTGTAAGGTTTTTATGGGATAAAAATGATTGTAAAAATTCTAACTGAATAAGTTTTATATTCTCAAAGAACATTATTTACTTTTTATTTTAGTGATTTCTTAGCCTTGCCATCAGAAATATTTCATGAGGAAAGGAAATAATTTAATGCAAATTAAACGAATTAAAATTAAATGCTATTTTTAAATGTTTCAGAATTAGTATCCAAATAAATAGCTTGTCTTGATTATAAATCAAGAGTAGCTTCAGGAGGCTGAGCTATAGGTCAAGCCAAAATTGAGAAAAATCACATCCATAGTGTTTCAAAAATATGGAAAATTGCTACAAATGGAACTGTTTCTATAGACAATGCAATGTACAGTATCTAAAACTATAAATAGTGAACTCTATGTTGTATGATTTCATCTATTTTTCCAATGAGAAGAGATAAATACACCAACTGTATAGGTGACACAGTATTTTTTTCTGTTACCATAAATAAGTGAAATGAATAGACCTCTTAGGCTGGACTATGTAATATGTGCAATTCATGCTTGCTATCTTATAAGGAGTTCTTTTTAATAGAAATCTTGACATGAGATTGAAAATGTGTGATTTATAAGCAAAAGGGGGGGGGAAAAACCCAGCTTTGTATCCTAGTACTTGTATTTCAAATTTCTGGCTGATTTATAAGCTTTTTAAAGGCCATGCTATTAAGCAACTCAAAATTTCAATGGTTATATATATTTAGCTAAACTAACTCCTCAACTAGCCAGCCAGTGGCATTTTCTTCATTTTTTCCGTCTGTGTTTTTTCTCATCGTGTTTCTTTAGAAATGTTATCCCTATTTCTGTCACCCTGTCACCTTTTAGTCTGTCTTGCAAGAATGTAACATCAGCAGCCAAATGAACCTAGGAAAGAAAAAAAATACAGGCCAACGTCATTCAGGTTAAAAAAAAAAAAAAAACTCGCTACATTTTTCTGTCTCTTTTTCCAGCTTTATTTATCTCATAAAGTGCTGACTTTCCTTATGGAATAATAAAAAGAGCTTGTTTTATGGACGAAGAGCCTTTTACTGTGAGTCCTTCAGAGACAGTCTGGCTCTTTGTCAGCTCTGCAATACAAGTCTGCAAAGAAAAGGGTGCTCAAGGCCAGGCCCAACTTGGACAACACTGGGGCAAGCCTAGAGATGTGGGCCCATGCCAAGTTTTGCTCACAGGACTGAACTATAGATCCATCTCAAGAAGAACACAAATTCCCAACTCAAAGATAGTCTTCACTCGATTTGCCTTGCAAGCAGCACTTCTAAGGATAAATGAATTCATAAAGGACTTGCCATAAATCATTCTGTCATTAGCTAAATAACATAATCACTTGTCCTAACAACAAACATTTAGCAACCACTTATGGCTTTGAGATGTTTGAAAAAGTATCAACTAAATAAATTATGAATATAAAATTAAAGATTGAAATTACAGACATGAATATTTGATACCCAGGCCTTCTTTTCCTCTGTAAAGCATATCCCATTTCCCAGACATTGAAGTAAGCCCTAAGGGCTTACTTCTCTATTCATTAAAATGTATTTACATAAGAGCAGCATGATATTGCTGACCGACCCTTAATAGAATACTGTTCAGCTATTTTAAGTCTTTAGAGTGAATAAGATAAATAAGCAAAAGCACCTAATAAAAGCAAATAATAAGTGGAAAAACTTGGGTCTGGTAGGCAATTAATTAATATTTATTGACTCTTATCTGACTCATTCTCCTCTCTCACTAAGGTTTCCTTGACCACCCAGCCTGGATTCGTTAAACCATAAACTTTGGTTCGCCAAGTTATCTGGCTCATACATGGTGCAAAAAAACATGCTTTGTGATGCCTAACACCCAACAGAAGGATATAGTCTGCACTCGGAAATATAGGAGATAAATTCACCCTCATTTTTTCCCCGATAAGATCTTTTTTGTCTTTATCAAAATTTAACATAAAATCAATTAAAATAACAAGATGACCACATTGAAGCTATCTGGATATTTGGGGCCACGTGAGGTCTGATATCTATTTGTCATTCAGCATATATAATCAATTGTTATCAATGAAAGATGGATACTTTTTTCCCCATTTTTAACTTGGTTTTATGTTTCATCCCATAAACTCCCAGAATTCTTCCCTTCCTCTTTCTTGATTTCATGGCCATTAATTGTAGGACATGCCTTAAAAAATGGTAGGACATGGAAGATCTGTGTAAATAAACATTATTTCTATTGTTTTACTCATTTGGATTACCTGTTGTATCTGTCCAATAATTATCACCAATAATTGAATATTATATGCGTGCCTCATCATTGGATAGGTCAACAAGTGTCTAGCCTTTGGTTACTATCTGGTCCCATTTTTCAAAATAGCTAAGCTTCTGAAAAAATGAGACTTGATTATGACCTCTGCCCAAGATGCTTTTGGTGCATCAGTCAGTCTTTGACAGACTGTCTTCTCCCTTCACTTTCCCAAAACAGCTTTATCAAGGTCCTTCCTGATCTTTTGATCCCTAAATGTGAATATCTTTCAGGTCTTGTTTTACTTAGTCTCTGCTGTACTTGATCTTGTCAGTCATTCGCTTTTTTCGAAATACTCCCTTGTTTCTATGACTCCCTTCTTTCCTGGTATTTTTCCTACATCTGATTGCTCCTTCTTGGGATCCTTTGCAGTTTTTATATTCTCTGTTTAACTTATTATATTTGTTTGCTTCCTAGAGTTCCACGTGTGACTTCTTTTTCTCCTTACTCTACACTCTCTCTAGACATTCTTTGAGAGTTCCAGTGCCTTTTCAGTCCGCCTTTCTCTGTGACTTCCAGACACATGTAACAACTGCTTAGCGGATATCATCATGTGTATGCGTGTATTACACAGCTCAGTACCAGCAGCTTCCAATCTGAACTCCTCACTTTGTCTCTCCCAACCCCAAATGTCCTCCTGCTGGTTTTGCTCATGGGTAATAGTCCAACTATTTCTACGGGTTGCTCAGAAACCTAAAAATAAATCTTTAATCTTTTTCGCAATCTTGTCCCTTTCAGTCAACTGATAATCTAGTCTTAAATTTGTTCTACCTTCTTAAAGTTACTCAACTGGGTCTTTTTCTCTCCACTCCTTGTGTCAGGGCTTTTTCTGGTTTTTGTTTGTTTGTTTGTTTGTTTTTCTTGAGGTCACCATCATTAACTTCCTAACTGTTCTCCTCCTCCCTCCAGCATTGTCCCCTCCAGTATACTTTCACTTTGTTGACAAAGGAGTGAAATTCCTGACACAAATTTTAAAATATCATTACCCTGTTTATAAACTAATAATGGGTCCCTGTTGTTTCAATATAAAAATCCGAATTCCAACTTGTCATATGAATCCCCCCCCCCTTTTTAAAATCAGGCCTCTGTAAAATATTTAAATCTCCTTTCTCACGACAATCCCTCTTTCAATCTACATGTCAGTCATACTGAACTAATTCAAGTTCCTTGTTCCTTGAGTGAAACGTTCTTTTTCTGCCTTTGGACATGCTGCTTCTTTTACCTGGAATATTATTTTCCTCTGCTCCCCTTACCTCTTACGTGGCCTTCACTTAACTCTTATTAACCCATCAAATGCCAGGTCAGAGTTTCTCTAGGAAGTCTTCCCTGCCCCCTGACCCCTCCCAACCCAACCCAGGTCCACCCATAGCCCTTAGTAACACTTCTTTACACATCTGATTTCTCTGCAGAAGATTCTTAAAGGGCAGCAACTGTGTCTTGTTCATCTCTAAGTTCAGTGCCTGACTCAGCAGATGCTAATATTGTCTTAGTTAAATCAATAAATAATTCAGGTATGGAAGCCAGATTCCAAAATGGCCCACAATGATCCCCACCTTCTGTTATTTGCACCCTCACGTAGTCCCCTCCCACTTTGCACCAGGATTGGCAACACCTGTTGTAATTAGATCTACAGTGAGGCCTATGTAGCGAGGAGCTTCATGAAGCCTCTGGCTAACTGCCAGCAAGGCACTGAGGCCACTGAGCTAGCTTGGAAGTAGATTCTCTAGCCTAAGTCAAATCTTCAGAGGCTGTCACCCTTAACCAGCAATTTGACTGCATGTTTATTAAGCTATGAAAAGCTCTGAGCCACAACCGCCCAACTAAGCTGCTCCCAGATTTCTGATCTTTAGAAACTGTGTGAGATCATAAACATTTGTTGTTTTAAGCCGCTATATTCTCGGGTAATTTGTTACCCAGCACTAGATAACAAATATACCCAGCAAGTATGTGTTTTACCATTTCCAGGGCACCTCTGATAATCCCACAGAGTAAATTGCAGTAGCACAGAGAGGATCGCCCAGCGGGGAGCTCTTCCACAAACTCTGCCAGAGGATTCTTGTCTAGAATCAGGGAAAATTCATTTTTGCTTGCATTGTTACAGGTCACACTTGGTGTAATTCCCAAATACATCTTGAAAGCAACCTAACAAAGAGGAGGAAAATTTAGTGAAACTTGGCCTAGAACAAATATCTATGAATAAGGCACCCAAATACCCTGTTCCGGGCAGTGCAGCACAATGGTTAAGTATATGGAGTTTGTAGTCGTGAAGTCCAGATTCACGCTTAGCTTTGAAATGCGCATTTATTTTTAAACACTTTTAGTTTTATGGAACATCTTTTATTATTAAACTTTTATTTGGACATCTTAAGGGACGAGTTTTTTACGGGAAAAGGATGGCTTATGAAACAGAGTTAAGCATTATTTCCAAAAATAAATTTTTTAAAATAAATATCCTTTAGAAGGATAGGAAATTAAAATATTACTAATCATCAATAGATTAGTATATTTGTCACATTGAGCCTAGTAAAAGATAAAATCTTGAATTAGAAGGGACCCAGGACACATCTGCCACAATAGGAGTGTGGTAGAGCAAAGGAAGCTATGGGAACATTAGACCCAAGAGCGTGTTTTGGGAAGTGGAGGCAGTCATATTGCGAAAGCTAAAAAGTCTCTGAGAAGGAACAAGGGGTAGTGTTGGGAGGCACGTAAATGAGTTATAAAATAACTTCTCAAAGGTCTCCTGTTTAAGAGGCTTAAACATTTTTACAATGTAAAAATGGAAGAAAGCAAACTGGGGTTCAGAGAAGTAAAATGACATGGCCGAGGCTATACTATAACTTAGTTCCTTGATTACTGATCCAAGGCACTCTTTTCACAAAACACACAGCCTGGAATTTGAAGTTTATTAATGAATATTTATCGGCTTGTTATGTTGTCACCTTTCAAGTGCCTTAATTCATTTTTTTTAAATTAACACCAGATAAATGGAAACAATTACCTTAAATTGTTTCTAACTAGAAGTACTAAAAGGTTCTTCATTCATTCATTCATTCATTCATTCAATAGGTACTCCATGAGCACTGTCTGTCTAGTATAGCGCCTGGCACACAGTAGGAGTTCAATAACTATTTGAAAAACAAATTATTGAATGAGCATCTATACTGTGTTTGACATCATGTTTAGGCTCAGAATACAAAAGTTAATAAAATGTAATTCCTGTTTTATAAGAACTCATAGCTGAAAAGGAGTTATAGGTATTAAATAAGTGTGACAGTAAGATTAAGTCCTACAAGTACAATGTTACGTATTATAGGAAGTAATTCCGGAAAAAATCGCAAAGAAAGAAAATTCTACCTTGTTCATGAATATTGAGTGAGAGTTTTTCAGGTGAACAAAGTGGGGGTGAGGGGAGGTGGTGGTGGTGATATTCTGGGTAGAACATATCATGGGCATGAAACACCATAAGGTTCATGGGAGGTTGGCAGTTATCAGCTTGTGGGCAGTGGGGGTGCCCGAAGCCATGAGTAAGCTAAAGCAGAATTAAACTTCTGTTTTAGAGGGATCTCCTTCCTGTCATCATGGAGGATGGTTTTTGGGTTGGCGGGGGGGTGGGTAGGCATGAGGTCAAACACAGAGATAACAATCAAGAGGTTACTGTGATAGCCTAAGAAAGAAATGATGAGGACTCTTCTCATTTTGTCTTTTATTCAAAAGTCAAATGCTCCCTAAATTTTTCATATAAATTCAAATAGCCCGGATCCTAAAATTTGGTTGAAGTCTCTGACACCAGCCAGCTTAAAAGGATATAAAATGAATCTCCCAGATTTTAAGTCAAGCAGCAAGAGAAAAAATCATCATGAAACTCCAGGCTTGGAGAATGATCTGGCTCTCAACCAATTGGCTGAAACCCATTTCTGCTAACATTGATTCTTCAGGCTGGAAAATTCCTAGGCTTTTATTTGTAAGAGAGAGAATTTCTTTCAAATTCTCAATCTAAGCAAAAATAACATAAAATGGAGCCCGGGCACTTTGAATTCACTCTTAATTCTCAGTGTTTTGGCTTTATTTCCATGACCCAAAACCCAGCAGTAGGAGGCATTATCTAAACACAATTGAGAAAGACTCATTCCAAGGGAATGACATTGTTTCCTTATCTGGCCAAATTCAGTCTGAGAAGGAGGACTGTTTTTCTAATGAAGGAAGAGCTCCACCCTTGGCCACAGCCATAGCTGTTCTGCCAATAAATAAGGCAAAGCATTTTCCCTCTTTATCTCCAACATGGATGCTTTTCACGGGATTTTAAAATCTATCCTCAACCAGAAAACTGTTATTGGCTACAGCTTCTTGGCTCTGCTGACCCTGGGAAGTGAGCGTCTCTTTTCCCTTGTGGCATTTAAGTGCCCCTGCAGCACTGAGAATGTGGTCTACGGGCTGGTTTTCCTTTTTGCTCCCGCTTGGGTGTTACTAATCCTGGGATTCTTTCTGAACGGCAGGTCGTGGAGACTCTTCACAGGCTGCTGCGTGAATCCCAGGAAAATCTTCCCCAGGGGCCACAGCTGCCGCTTCTTCTATGTCCTTGGCCAGATCACTCTGAGTTCACTGGTGGCTCCAGTGATGTGGCTGTCTGTGGCTTTGCTCAATGGGACTTTTTATGAATGTGCCATGAGCGGGACGAAAAGTTCAAGACTCCTGGGACTGATCTGTGAGGGCAAGCCCAAAGAATGCTGGGAAGAACTTTACAAAGTATCATGTGGCAAAACCAGCATGACACCCATGGACACCGAAGAACTGAAACTGTCCCTGCAAGCCCAGTCTCAGGTAAAAAAAAAAAGACTCGCCTTTTCCTTGCAGCTTGCAGTATTCTCTCTGTTCTCTTTTTAGCCAAGGCTGTCTGAATCTTGCTAGAACATTTTGATACATGGAAATTGGAACAGATGTAGTCTCAAGACAATCTCAGGAAAAGCTTTTTAGAGGGTGGATGGCTCAGTAAAATTGATGATTGAATTGTCTTTTCCATTTCTGAAAAGAAAATATCCTCTGGGCTATGTATATGTAAATACTTACGTACTTTAAAACAATCTCTATGAGTTGACTTTATAAATAATGCATAACACTAACTCATAATTGAGTGTTAAGGGCAGAGCTGTTATTAGAAATGACTGCCTTGTATCAATGGTTTATTTTCAAATTGATTTCTCAGAAAAACACACACACACATAGCATTCATCTCTTAAAATACAGCTGACCCAAATGAACTAATACTTTGCAAAGTTTCATGTGTTATAATTAATATAGAAATTCCTCTGAATGACTTCTGGCAATTACTATCTCTATGTATAAATATTATCAGGATTGAGAAGAGTTTCCTATATTAGGTAGGAATTGACAGTCTTTAAATAGCCTTGGTGAAAAGTGATCCTCTCTCTAGGGAGGTTATGCATTATGCTCTTTGTGCTGCACAGCTAAAGAAGTTCTTACATTACTTTAGAAGCCGAAGATTTGGGGCATTGTTTTATTTAACAGAAGGAAATCATAGCTTTACCTAATTGATGAAGGGAAGTAGCTTGTCATCCTTCCAGGTACAAGAGCACAAATCCAGATGTGAAGCCTTGCCCTGGCCTCAAGAAAAGACTGAATTTCTACTTGTAAGTAGTAGGGATTTCATTTCCAAAACCAAAGCAAGCAATGAGAGTGGATAAACAGATCCCCAGTTGGTCAGGAATACTATTTGTTTCAGAATAAATGCACTGAAAATAGTATAATTTTACTTTTCAACAAGGACTTATCTTAACAACAACACATCAAGGCAAAGTCTGTTTCTAAAATCATACATTTCTAAGCTGGTTGTCAGTATAGTCATACATTTTTGATAAACTGATAAACCTAAAAATATTACAAAGTCTTTTGTTTAACACACAAAGCAAACATGCCAGGCTCCCAGACGTACTCCTTCTTTTGTTGAAGGAAGGTATTAATTATGAACGTTACGACACAATGAGTGATTTATCATTCATGTCCCCAGGCACCAGGCTCCATTCAGTTAGTGCCAAATCCAAACGCTTATCACTGTGTGAGCTTTTCTTCTCTAAACACCGACATAAGGAAATCATGCATGTGCTGTCATAGCTTAGCCTGGGCACACTGACCTGTTTGCTTTTCAGCAGTTTGAGAAGGACCTGGGGCTGATTCTTAGGGGAAGACGTGTGAGAGATGTGAACAAGAAGACCTGTAACAATAGCAGGTGCTGACCACAGTGGTTCACGCAGGCAGGAGCAACAAACAGTCTAAACTAATATTTGGGTATGTGACTGGGGGTGGAAAACGTGCCCCATCCATGGGAGGGGCAGAGAAACAAGAAATCCAGCTGGGTGATGCTCTACTCTTAAGAGAGGTAGAGTGTAGTAGTAGTGAAAAGAGCTTGGCCTTGGAGTTGGCTAGGCTTGGGTTTGAGTCTTGACTCTACCACTGACCAGCTATATGACCTAGAGCTAGTGGTTTGACCTCTCTGAGCCCCTATTTCCTCTAGTTGGGGGTAATAACACCTACCTTGGAGGGTTGCTGGAAGGTATATAGATAGCGAACATAAATGGCATAAAGCTTCTGGCACACAGTAGTATGTGTTCTAAATTGATGAGAAAAATGCCAGGGTCTGAGGAAGAGGCTCATGCAGAATGGAACACTACTGAGGGCTGGGGTGGGAGTATCTACCATGTCTGGTTACATGCTGAACACTACGAACTGGGGAAGAACAAGAGGGCTCAGGAGAGCAAGGCAATGCTAAGATCATGCAATGGAGGGAGGGGAGTCTGAAGCTCATCAAATAGTGTATAACTCAAACAGAATTGGCTCAGGTACTGAGGTGAGATGGCCTACTGGCCCACAGGAGGCCTAGCTGTGGGGAACAAGGGAGGAAGAGGATAAAGAAAAGAGGAAGCTCTGAGGTAGCCAATCGCAAATGATTCAAGGTAAATATGAGGATTTTCAAACAATGGTAACTGTGCCTCTTTCATTAATCATAATGACAGAAAGATACGTGAGTTCAGTAATGCTTTTACATACACCTATATACATTTGAAAAATAACACCATGTGACAACAGCTAATACTTACTGAATGCACCTGGATGTCTATATCATGTCATTTTAATCCCCCAAATTACTCTCTGAGGTAGGTAAGCCCCATTTTTATGATTGAGGAAACTGAGGCACAGAGAACACCCATAGTAAGGGGAAAGCTCATATTTAAACCCAACCAGTGCCAATCCAGAGTTAACATTCATGTGATGTCTGAGACCTTTACAATGACGCTCTTGTCTGAGCCAGAGTGTGGGAACCACTGGTTTAAAGTATTGGAGTAATTTGTGGGTCTGTCACTGTCTGAATGGATTTATTTGCAGATTTTTTGTTTCTATTATCAAGTAAGCCTGTCTGCTGAGAAATACTAAGGGTAATTTCACTGAAATGTCAAGAGAAACTTTGAAAGACCCTTGTTAGTTGTCTAAATATGAAATTAATTCCAATTGTGAAAAACACAATTAAAACAACAAAAGTTTAGAAGATAAGTTATTTAGACTTCCATTTTTAATATTCAGAAAAAAACCCAGCTGAACCAGTTCATATTCAGAGAGAAATTTATTTTTTCTAATTTTTAAATTCAGAATCAATAATCCTGACAATTTGAAATGACTGTGATTTTTTTTCTCATCTTTTATGCAGGCTTTCAATTCTTATAGTTTCAGTTTCCTTATTGTATTATGTTTGTCTTGCTTTATCATGGATAATAAGTAATGATATTTCTCTCAAAGAGGGTTGCTGTTCCCTGCAAACAATAGAACATGGGAAAAAATCAGTCACTAACCACGTATATGCATTTATCAATGCCTGAAAATACCTGGCTAAGGAACTGGTCATTTGCTCAAATGATCATGTTTATAATTCTTTCCTCTAGTAGCTAATACTATTTGAGGTCTTGGTTTATCTGATTCTTGGATAATCTATACTTTTTGTTTTTTCAATTTGCCTGCCTTCCAGTTATTTCTTTGCATACCAGAAATGGTGGGCAGGATAGAGAATAATTAGGTAAACTCTAACTTTATCTTGACTATTAAAAATGTGTCATTAGAAAATTAAGATGAAGAATTTCAACTGACTGTGGTGGTGATGTAGCCATATACTTCCCAATAACCTCTCCCCAGATCCATGGGAAGTGGCTTTGCTTTTACACGTCCTCAATATTTCTTTCTTTCTAAGATTCTAGGATGGTGCCTGATTTGTTCAGCATCTTTTTTCTCTCTGCTCACCACTTGTTATGCTCGCTGCCGATCTAAAGTAAGCTACCTTCAGATGAGTTTTTGGAAGACATATGCCCAAAAGGAGAAGGAGCAGTTGGAAAAAGTGTTCCTGGACTATGCCAACAAGTTGAGTGAGAGAAATCTGAAATGTTTTTTTGAAAATAAGAGGCCAGATGTCTTCCCCATGCCTACTTTTGCAGCCTGGGAGGCTGCTTCACAGCTGCATTCTTTCCACCAAAGCCAGCAACACTACAGCACCCTCCATAGGGTGGTGGAGGATGGACTGGAACTCAGCCCTGAGGACGACGAAACTGCAATGGTCCTTGTGGGTACTGCCCACAATGTGTAGCGCACCTGCTGTCACTGATTCACGGTGTCCAGAAATACACTCATTCTGATATCTTCCTACTGCATCAACAGCAACCTGGGTACCTCTGTGTTTTCCCACATTCAGTGTTTCTTTATAATACATTAACACAGGGAAGCAATTTTGCAGTTCCCCAAAGCGGACAATGTCAGGATGTGCTCAGACTGAGGCTGAGTGATTGGTCAAGGATGGTGACAAAGGTGCCCTTGCATTGGTTGGTGGTTGGGTTCAGTGTCTTCAAGTTCTAAAATTTTATGATTTGACAGCAAGACTCATACCACTCTATGTACATATTGGTCATGGTATCCGGGGGCAGAAGTAGCACCTTGCGAGTGAGCCAGGTACTCTTAGTCAGCAGAAAGCCTTGTCCTGGAAATCTATCCTACTGCCTTTCAAGGACATATAAAATTCTACCATTTGAAATTCAGAAACTGAAGACATTGGTTCTCAAATATAATGCATCAAAAGGATGTAATGCCTAGAATTCAGAGCTTTTCCCTTTTCCAGTGTTCAATGAAAGTACGCCCCTGCAGGCAGGGCTGTGTTATGACTTTTGTGTGCTCTAGGCATTTTTGCCTTCATGGACCCCTTTCTACATTAAAGTACACACACATATATTAATGGCTGTATTGATATAAAGACAAATATATTAATCTTGTATATTTTTTTCAACCCCAAAGTTCAATTATTTTCTTCTAACTTTAAAAGAAAGTAAAAACAGTTATGTGGGCCCCTGCAAGTATCGTGGGCCCTGGGCACAATGCCTACTGAGCTGAATGGGTAAGTTGGTTCTGACTGGAGTCTGGGGCAACTGTCCAAAGCAGTGCCAGTGTAAAACTGTTTGGCAGTTCTATGTTTATCAGAAATAATGCAAATTTTTCATTCTCCTATGTAATATATTCACATTAGTTTAAATGTCTATAATACATGTAGATAGATATAGATATGGATATAGATATATTTTAATTCCCCCTAAATCTCTGAGTGGGACTGATATTTAAGGAAAAAGCACATGTGTTATGCTGTGGCTCACACCTTATGTCACTGAGAGTCCTTGTCTCTTAGCTGGAGAATCCTGGGAATGAACTCATCACCATGGAACATTGTCTCAAATTGGAGAAAGCACCCTGTAGGTATAAGCCTGGAACATATCCTTGGTAATTTGGAGGTGCAAGGGAAGGCGTGTGTGTGTGTGTGTGTGTGTGTGCGTGTGCGTGCGTGTGTATGTGTGCGTGTGTGCGTGTGTGAGGGTGGAAGATGGGGGCTGTGAAGTTGCAGTTTTGAAATATTTGCATTTCAAATAACGGTGTGATAAATGTTTAACAACTGGTTCTCAGGAAAAAAAAAAAAGTCCTGATTTGAAGTGTATGCCGATTCTATGATGTAATTTCAAGCTACTAAGGTGATGTCACTGAATGCAGATTTAGAAAGGGATGCTAACCATGGGCTCTCTTGAGCCAGTATGAACTTTCAAAGAAGGCTTTACAGCTAGTGGGGTTTTTTGTTGTTGTTGTTATTTGTTTATTTGTTTGTTTGTTTATTTTGCATTTACATTGATTCTAGACAAACCAACTTTGGTGCATCTTTAGTATATCTGGATTTCACTTTAATAAAACCTAACCATAGTGAATTAAATATGGCTCAATGGCTCCAAATGAGAGATAGAGTCTCATTTTCTTCTCGAATCTTTCCTTAATAAACCTATAGAATGTAGCAGAAGTGAAGCCAGATTGTAGGAGTGTTACAGCCTATGCCTTGGGCTCTTACAATGCTTAACCTGGTGGAAGCCAGCTCCCATGTAAGAATTCTAGTTATCCTGAGATCCACAAAGCTCTGAAGAAGGGAAGAGAAAAGGACAAAAAAAGAGAGGAAAGGAAAGGAGAGACTTGGACAACCTCAACTGTTCCAGTCATTCCAGCTTAGGTGCCCAACATGTAAATAAAGAAGCCATTTGGACATTCCGGCCTCAGTAGATCTGACATGAAGAAGAACCAGAGACCCAACCAAGAGCCAGAAAAGAGACCCCAGAACTATGGTCCTAGTGAAGCAATTCCAGCCTTCTAGATTTGAGCCACACCATCTGAGGCTGAAGACATTATAGAGCATTCCCTACTATGTCCTGTCCAAATCCCTGACCCAGGAAATCATGAGCTTAAATAAATGTTTGTTGTTTTAAGCCACCAAATTTTGGGGCACTATGAAACAATAGATAGCCTGAACACTAATACATGATAATCAGACTTAAGAAAAGAGAGAAATTAGAGTCAAATTGGATTTATACATAGATTTATATACAGATTCTTTATATGCACAGGCTTTCCTTTATAATTTTTTCCCCTTTAGGTTCCAGTTAGTCCTATATCCTCTATAGCATGATTTGATAGGTGCTGAATAGATTCCTCTCCAAAATATTTCACCAAAGCCTGAGATTAATTTTTAATTATTTCTGGTTAAATTTGGTTCGAAAGGAACACTCTGCTGTGGATTAAATTCTGTTTAAAAGAAATATACTACTGAGAGAAGTGACCTATTATTTGTTATTAATGCCTAAGAAAAATGGAGTGGAGGGAATAGGATTGGTTGGCCTTGTGTAAATTAGAAACAGATTGGCCTTTCAGTCTCGCCCCTCCGAGTGTTGTCTTCAGAGCATCAGCATCACAAGGGAACTTGTTAGAAATGCATAATCAGACCCTATTCCAGACCTGTTGAAGCCAGTTTAACAAGATATTAGGTGATTCTTATGCAACTTTGAGAAGCACTAGCACAGTGGTTCTCAAACTTTAGCTCAAGTCAGAATCATCCTGAGGGCTTGCTGAGCTCCATCCTAGAGCGTCTAATTTGGTAGGTCTGGGGTAAGGCAAGAGAATTTGCATTTCTAACAAGTTCTCAGATAATGCTGATGCTGTTGGTCCAGGGATCACATCTTGAGAACAGCTGCTCTAAAGCATAAAGCTAGAACAAAGTCAGAATATTAGGCCCTATCCTAGATCTACTGAATCAGATACCTCAGTTTGTTGTTATCAACTTATCTAAGGACATAGGTGCCTTTCCATTTATTTTCCATTTGTTAAAGGCTACCTTTTGTCACATAAGTTTTGTAAGTTTTGTGTATTTCTGGTATTCTTTGCTGCTATGACGAATGGTTTATTTTTTTCCATTATGTCTTTTAAGTGATGTTATTTGGGTACATAAAATGCTATTGCTTTATGCATATCAATTTTATACCTCTCTGCTTTACTAATTCTTATTTTATTCTTTGAAGAGCTTTTCAGAATTAGAAAATAACCATTTTGAAACCCCTAATGACATAATAGATCTAAACAATAAATGATTAATTCTAAACTTCTAGGTGAAAGCATGATGAGGGGAAGACCACAAAACTTGCAACCACTCATCTATCTTAGCATCCCTAAACATGGGACAACTGGGTATTATGTGCCTCCCAATGATGCAATGCAAGAGTAAGTAAGAATACAGTACCACCTGTGAAATATTGTTTACTAAAAAAATTAAATCTGAATCAAGAGCACTAGGTTATTTAATCTCTTTGGAGGGGGTTGGGACATCATTATTACAAATATAAAAATGTCATATTTGAGTCTGGAAGGAAATCTGCTTTTAGGCAGCTTCAAATAATATTTTCAATGTTCAGTTGTTTGTTAGAATTGAGTTATGCAGAAAGAACACTTGTCTAGCTGTAAGAGAGATCCTATTCTAAATTTTGTTCTCCCACTAAAAAGGAAAAGGCAGAATTAATGTTTATAACAACTTATTATATGCTGGATACTTTACATATGATTTATATTTAAAATTCACAAGTATACTGGAAAGAAGTACTTTTTATTTTTATATTTTTTCTATTCTGTTTCTATTTTATGAATAGCGCTAAAATTAAAAAAGATTAAGTTTAAGCCTCAGATAAGAGATAGAGCCTAAATTTGGACCTGAAATTATCTGACTCTTAACTTCCACCACATAAAATGTTGCATCATGTTGGTGAATTCTCAAATATTCATTTAGCTGTTAAAAGCATGTTTACTCATTTTTTAAAGGCAGAGTATTACATTAGCACATCTCAGAATTTCTTTCAACTCTGCTGTCCTCACTCTTAACAACCAGTAGCACATGAATTACTAGTCAAGTGGCTTCTTAGTGTACTTCTGGGAATTGAAGTTTATCTCCAGGTTTCCTGGCCTCTCCCTGGGCCCCCGGCCTCTTTTCCATGCTGCAGTTTTTTCACCTTTGGTTTCTAGATATTTGGGGCACTTGTTCTCAAACTATATACTTCTAGTTCACTATATCAACAAGGTCAACTTCTTGTTTTATCTCCTTAGATAAAAATGGCAATTGATAAAGAAGGAATTTTCAGCAATAAAGTTCATAAAAGATTTAGAATAGTCCCCAAATTTAAATGTTGATATATTTTAGAGCACATATTTCTGTTTATCTGTATGACTAGCTATCTTTTTATAGTTTCAGATGTCCTGACCCTACAGCCACACCAATGCCAGAGAAAAATCTTTAAAAGTTTTAAATTGTAATGAAAACAGATTAAAATGCGGAAAATGCATTAATTAATTTACCTAATGACATTCTCTGGAACATTTCAAGGAATAAGATAAAGTAAGGAAAGTCTGAACTCAGGTCATATTGAGTAATTTTGTTTAAGAACAATACCTCAAAACATATGCATCCTTTGGAAGAGGATATAACATATAAAATGGTTACTATTTGCATTGTGACAAAATTTTATTCCTAGGTTAAATATAAAGGAATGTGCTTCTGCTATAATAATGGTTGCTGATGGAATCAATGAAACAAGATTATTTCTCCCAGGGGTTTTGTTGGTATTTGTGTCATGGGAGGAAATATGAAGAGTAGTAAACAGTGTCTTTAAAAGGCTTGCTTCCTTAAACAATTGGCTAATTATGAGTGGATCTCACTTATGCCGTATGTGACGTAAAGTAGTTAAAGAAATAAACAATTATAAACCAGTGTTTGATTAATATCCAT